CGGGTCCCTGGCGTCATTTGTTTACAAGCCCAATGGCTGTTGCTGCATACATTCGGATTATTTTGTATTACCCATGTTGCAGTGCTTGTCCCTGCTTTGTATCACCATGGCTCAAGAAAGCTTTGGGGCCCACCCGTGGGAAAAGGGGGGATAAATACTTTGTACCACAGTCAGCTGTGCTGCACCAGGTCAGCTGTTGCTGGACCATCCGGCTGTGTTTGCTGCACCATGGTCAGCTGTTGCTGGACCATAGCTGTTGCGGGGACCAGTCACTGTTGCTGCAACCACGGTCCAGCCTGTTGCTGGACCAGTCAGCTGTGCTACACCACGGTCAGGTTGCGGGCTGGACCAGTCAGCTTTGCTGGAACCACGGTCAAGTTGTTGCTGGACCAGTCAGCTGTTGCTGGACCAGTCAGCTGTTGCTGGACCAAGTCAGCTGTTGCTGGATGCAGTCAGCTGCTGCTGCACCATGGCAGCTGTTGCTGGACCAGTCAGCTGTTGCTGGATCAGTCAGCTGCTGCTGCACCACAGTCAGCTGTTGCTGGACCAGTCAGCTGTTGCGGGATCAGTCAGCTGTTGCGGGACCACGTTAGCTGTTGCGGGACCAGATCAGCTTTGCTGGACAGTCACTGTTGCTGGATCAGTCAGTGTTGCTGACCAGTCAGCTGTTGCTGCACATGGTCAGCGTTGCGGACCATGTCAGCTGTTGCTGGACCAGTCAGCTGCGGGCTGCACCACAGTCGCTGTTGCTGGGACCAGTAAACTGTTGCTGGATCAGTAAAGGCTGCTTGCGGGCGCCCCAGACAGCTGTTGCTGGACCAGTCAGCTTTTTGCTGGATCAGTCAGCTGTTGCTGCACCACAGTCAGCTGTTGCTGGACAGTCAGCTGTTGCGGGACCAGTCAGCTTTGCGGGACCAGTTAGCTGTGCTGCACCAGGCAGCTGTTGCTGGCCCAGTAGCTTTTGCTGGATCAGTCAGCTGTTGCTGCACCAAAGTCAGCTTTTTGCTGCACAGGTCAGCTGTTGCTGGACCAGTCAGCTGTTGCTGATCAGTCAGCTGTTGCTGCATCCTTGGGCTCAGCGTTGCTGGACCACGTGAAGCCTGTTCGGGACCAGTCAGCTGTTGCTGCACCACGTCAGCTGTTGCTGGACCAGTCAGCTGTTGCTGGATCAGTCAGCTGTGTGGCCAGGCGCGCACAGGTCGCTTTTGCTGGACCAGTCAGCGGGTTGCTGGACCAGTCAGCTGTTGCTGACCAGTCAGCTGTTGCTGGACCAGTCACTGTTGCTGGATCAGTCAGCTGCTGCTGAACAGTCAGCTGTTGCGACCCGGGTCAGCTGTTGGGGACCAGTCAGCTGTCTGGAACCAGCAGCTGTTGCGGGACCAGTCAGCTGTTGCGGTAGGTCAGGTCACCCCTTGCTGCTGCAACCCAACAGTCAGTGTTGCTGGACCAGTCAGCTGTTGTGGACCAGTCAGCTGCTGCTCCCACCACGTCAGCTGTTGCTGAAGACCAGTCAGCTGTTGTGGACCATTTCAAGTCAGCTTTTGCTGGATCAGTCAGCTGCTGCTGCACCATGGTCAGCTGTTGCTGGACCAGTCCAGCTGTTGCGGGAAATCAGTCAGCGTTGCTGGATCAGTCAGCTGCTGCTGCACCTGGTCAGCTTTTGCTGGACCAGTCACTGTTGCTGGACCATCAGCTGTTGCGGGATCAGTCAGCTGCTGCTGCACCACAGTCACCATTGCTGGACCCAGTCAACTGTTGCTGGATCAGTCAGCTGCTGCTGCACCCAAAACCCGGTCAGCTGTTGCTGGACCAGTCAGCTGTTGTTGGATCAGTCAGTGCTGCTGACCACGGTCAGCAGTTGCTGGATCGGAAAAGCTGCTGCTGCACCAGGTCAGCTGCTGCTGCACCACAGTCACTGTTGTTTCCACCACAGTCAGCTTTTCTGCACCACCATCACTGTTACTACTCAAAGATTGGAGAGAGTGTTGTTGTGTGGCTTAACGTGAAACAATTACCGAAAAACGATTCCCGAGGTTACCACCCGGGAAATAACCCCCAAAAATCATGCATCATCGAGACTGTAACTTATTTCCATGGTCCTTAATCTTGTCCCCCAGGATGCGACCCACCCCATCAATTTACACCCAGTGAACAGAAAAAATGCCTGGAACTATGCTCTATTGGTGAATTTAAGCCAGAAAAGGGTTGGTTTGAGAGATTTAAGAATTGTAGTGGCATACACAGTGAAATAAGGCATGGCAAACCCTGAAAAATTCACCCCCATCAGTGTTCAATTGTGACGAAACGGGCCTGTTCTGGAAGAAAATGCCAAACAGGACCTACATTACTCAGGAGGAAAAGGCACTCCCAGGACACAAGCCTATGAAAGACAGGCTAACTCTCATGTTTTGTTGTACTGCTAGTGGGGATTGCAAAGTGAAGTCTTTACTGGTGTATCACTGAAAATCCCAGAGTGTTCAAGAAAAACAGTGTCTCATCACTCATCAATACTCTTCAATAAAGGTAAGTGTCACTTTAACATTTATTTATGTAGTTATTGTGCATGTCTTATTGTTTTCTTTGTAGGTAAATGTACATTTCATGAAAAAAAAAAAAAAAATTTTACTTTTGGCTGTCTGGAACGGATTAATTGGATTTCCATTACAGTGGACCCCCGGTATTCGATGACATCGGTATTCGATAAATTCGGTATTCGATGCATTTTAACACAAAATTTCCGCCTTGGTATCTGATCGAAAACCTGGTATTCGATACGATTCGTACGAGATGTGTCCACGTGTGGCCTGAACTGCCCCATGTGTGCCAGTGTTTACAAGCCAGTCAGGGTGCGTGCATCTCAGGATACATTCGGTACATTCCATATTATCATTGTTTTTGGTGCTTGTTTCTGCAAAATAAGTCACCATGGGCCCCAAGAAAGCTTCTAGAGCCAACCCTGTGGTAAAAAGGGTGAGAATTAGTATGGAAATTAAGAGAGATTTTGAAGGGTTTGGGGCAAACCCTGAGAAGCCTATGCCAGTTGTGGAATCCATTGTGCCTACTTCAAAAATTAAGGAAATGTGTGCACAGTGGGTTGAACTGCAAAACTTTATGGATGAAAATCACCCTAACACAGCTATTGCAAGCCGTGCTGGTGACTATTACAATGACAATGTTGTAGCCCATTTTAGACATATCATAAAGGAACGGGAGATACAGAGCTCTATGGACAGATTTGTTGTGCGACAGAGGTCCAGTGACTCTCAAGCTGGCCCTAGTGGCATTAAAAGAAGGGGGGAAGTAACCCCGGAAAAGGACTTGCTACCTCAAGTCCTAATGGAAGGTGATTCCCCTTCTAAACACTAACACCATCCACACTCTCCCCTCCTCCCATCCCATCAATCATCACCAGATCTTCATTAAAGTGTCAATTATTCTATTGTTATTGTAATTATTTTATTGCATTAAACTTAATATTTCATGTGGTAAAATATTTTTTTTCATAATTTTGGGTGTCTTGCACGGATTAATTTGATTTCCATTATTTCTTATGGGGAAAATTGATTCGCTTTTCGATATTTTCAGTATTCGATGAGCTCTCAGGAACGGATTAATATCGAATACCGGGGGTCCACTGTATTTCTTATGGGGAAAATTAACTCGGCTAACGATGAGCTCTCAGGAACGGATTAATATCGTTAGGCGAGAGTCCACTGTATTTTATACTGTAAGGTTTAAGATAAACACTGTGTACAACACAAATAGTTGTTTATTTCCCAGAAATTTGGCATAAAAAACACGGTTGTAAGTCGAGTGGTCGTAAGTCGAGCAGGTCGTAAGTCGGATGGCAGGTGTATTTAGCATTAAAACACAAAAAATTATATACTGCCACAAAAAGAGCCCCCCCCCCAAAAAAAATTCCGTGAATTTACGAGGATTTCCGCGAACAATTATTAGATAGGGTCTAAGGAAAAATCCATGAATTACTGAAGCTGCAAATTCGGAATAGCGAATTTGTAGGGGTCCACTGTACTTGTATATACCAATGATTTAGTGCTACTCTGATTAAAATAAATAAAAAAAGTAACCATGGAACAAACAGTGTAGACACTGTAATTAGACCAATGACCCCTTATCCATTACCATTGATTTTTTTTAAATGGCCTAGAGTAGGGTCAAAAATTTAAACGAGCCTTAATCATTTCAAATCTGGTTGAATTGCCATGAGAAATTTATAAAATTAATTTCTTATACCAATGTAATTTACATGATTAGGTATTAAAACTGCCACTATATGGCAATAAATATATGACGCAGGGCAAGCATGTGGTACAAATTAAAAGAATATGTAAACAAGAATTTTCATGAATGTTCAACAATTCCACAAAATTTTTTCTCCAAGATTCACTAAACATTACGCATTGTTGCAACAGGCTATCAAAGAACAATACAGCCTCTCCTCACTTAGCAACATACTCGTTTATCAACGATTCAGACTTACGATGGGCTCTCTGACCAGTGTGCATACTTAATATACAGTAGTGTACTGTATATTACAATATACAGTACACTACTGTATAAACATTTAAAAATATACCAGAAATGTTATAAATGGTGGAAAGGTGACATTAAAACAAACCCACTACAATTATAGTATGCTCCTTGATTAGCAACAAATTCGTTTACCAACGTGGTCTTAGGAACGAAACTCCGTCATTAAGTGAGGAGAGGGTGTATTATGCATTATTAACACCTGGATAGGAATTAAAGGGATGTATTGAACAAAGTCTCATCCTTCAAGGGGTGAGTTTTAGTGACTCTTAATCCAAGAGACTGGGGATACCCTTCCCTTCCTTGGATCAAACTTGATTATCTTCCACTCCCGAGATTCGGTGTGACCCTAAAGGGTTAAGCACTTCCCTATGAATATAATACTATAGTACAGTCAAATATTTTATTGATAAAATTAACAAGCCAATACAAAGGCATATTTTACTCACTAGGAAAATTCCAACTTGTCAGGTATGCCAACATCTTTGTTTAATATGAGATCATATATACTTGGAGCATTTAATTGTCATCATTATCATCATCATCTTGGTCCTCGAAATATTCCTGGGGCTCCTCCGTTATACGTTTCTCGCTGGAGATGAGGTCCACAATTGTGTGAAGCAGTGCACCTTCCTTGGTGAATTTTTCCCACCGTGTCATTCTTGGATGACTAATTTTGTGTTCAAGAAGTTGGTCTAAAACATTTCGTAAACTCTGAAACACAATGTTCCATTAAAACAAAATGTGCTTAAGGCAGCACAATAACAAAAATAATTTGTTTTAGTAAAACACTAACAACAATTTGTGATGAACATTTTAATATTATGTATGTCATGAAGTGTTGAAAACACTCAGTGTGTTTACACACACACACACCTTTAGAGAAACTAGTTCCTCTAAAGATGTATGTAAACTTTATTATAGTATTTGTGATTTCTTCCTATTGAAGTGAATATATTTAGGTACTGCATTTTGGGGTGGATGCTGCTGGCAGATGACTGTATGAGAGACTAAACTAATCATGAAATAGACAAGGTAAAAACTGCAGATGTTTTGGCATTTATGGAAAGAAAAGTTTATTAGTGCTGTTCTCAGTTAAGTCTGCTCCAACATGCTCTATACAACTATGGAATTTTCCATATAAGAAAAATACTGCAAACCAATCTCTGGAACACAAATAATTTTGTTTTTTAACACACCAGCCATTTCCCACTAAGTTAGGGCCACCCGAAAAAGAAGAAACACTGCCATTCACCAAAAAGTACGAAATTTGATGGAAATACAGTATTTTGGAATTACACTGGTGCAAAGTTAGTGGTCTTGGCACAATTTACACATCAAAGATTTTTGCCCAATTTGAGTCATATTTTAGGCCAATTCCATGCTTCCAGTCGACTAAATTCTTAGCTATTTTGTTAGGCAAGGGTAATATTGGAGAGGCCTGGGGACATGATTAATGAACAGAGGAAATGTTTTAGTGCCTGGAATGTCTACAGTGCTTATTTTGAACTGTTTTTAAATTGAATTTAATTTTTAAAACTGGCCAAATTACCAACTTGGGGTAGTTCTGATAGTTAAATGGACAGTTTCTTGTGTTCAATGAATAGAACAGAAGGCATATTAGCAAAATAGCTAAGAATCTGATCTAATTGAGCACTGGAATTGGCTTAAAATGAGACTCAAAGTGGGCAAAATGGCTGATGAGTAAATTGTGCCTAGACCAATAAATTTGAGCCAGCATAACTCCATAAGGCACAATCCACAAATAACCTGCACATAGCAAAGAGGAGCTAACGACAATGTTTCGGTGCTTACAACAACGTTTCATGCCTTTTTTATTTTTTTGTTATTTATAACTCCAGAAGTTTTTCAACAAATTTTGTACTTTTGGTGTCATTACCTTCAGAAAAATATTCTCTACTATTTCAGATTTTTTTAAATGTGGACATGGAGCAATTTCAATTTGGGAGGGTCCTGACAGTGAAGGGGTTAAATAAGTGTAAATCTTTCTTCTTTTATATTTTTAAACTACACAGAATAACTAATACAGCATATAGATCCAAGTTATTTTTTTATACTGCACCCCTTATCTTTACCACTTAAATGGTTTCAGTTATGTACATATATAATGCCAACTCTGTAGCCCAGTAAAATTTCTTTAAGAGATACATTCATAAGAACTCAACTAGTCAGTACTTTCTTGAAATTAGCCAATGTATGTTTCGAACTATAAACCCAGAAAATGTCCTGCATAGCTCTGCTACTTACATCACCTCCAAATTTTTCTCTGATGTTCAAAATCTTGCCTCTAGAAGGAACTCGCCTGTTCATATCTCCAAGACGTATGAGTACGGACATCCTTTTTTTTTATCCTTTGTACTGATTTGATACAGCTTTACATGCAAAGAAGCACTGTTACAATAGATGCTTGCTGTGTATCTCTATCTTTTCTTCAGTAATGATGTGTTTGGGATCAATGTGTGGTGTGAATATTATACAGAAGGGCCCTGCTTTACAGCATTTCGCCTTACAGTATTCTGCCAATATGGACATTTCAAATTATGATCAAAACTCGCTAAACGGCTCCCCCATCTGACTTTCTAATACAGTCACTGTGCCCTACCCAGTTTGTTTACATTCTCTGTGAGTACTACATCTCTCCATTATGTGTGGAAACTTTCCAAAATTTCAAGTGTTTCAAAGTTATTTCATGTTTTATATATACTCTAATAATTAGACTTATGTGTACCTGTACCTAAATAAACTTAAACACTGTGGGTGGCATTAGGTACACATCAAAATCACTAAGAATGTCTTATGAGTCTTGAGGGTGCCATATTAACCCCCTGACTGTCGCAACCCCCAATCCTGAGGTGTCTCCTGGTGTCGCAAAATTTCGAAAAAAAAAAAATCTAATGAAATGATAGAGAATGCTTTCCCGATTGTAATGACACCAAAAGAATGAAATTTGATGAAAAACTGACAGAATTACGCTCTCATGAAGTTAGCGACCTCGGCAATATTCACAAATAGGCGATTTCGCCTACTTTGAGCCCTATTTTTGGCTAATTCCATTGTTCCAGTTAACCAAACTCACAGCTATTTCTTTAGAACTCTGTTTGTTCTATCGACTGAGCACAAGAAACCACCCATTTACCGATTTCAACTACCCAATAACTTAGTCAGAAATTTGCAATTTGCCCAATTTCACGAAAATTAAAAAATATGACAATTTCAAAATAAGGTCCAGAATGAACAATGCAGACATTCCTGGCTCTAAAATAACATTTTCTTTGTTCATCAGTTATGTCTCCAGGCCCCTCTGATATTACTCTTGCTTTCTATTTTGAATTTTTATTCAAACAAAAAATACTGTAATAATTGTACAAATAATGTGAACCCATTCATGACTGCATATTAGCATGGCTAGTTGGACATTTATTGGACAATGACATCAACTGTTAACTTTTCAACATCGGCAAAAATCAAACATTTCCCCTACTTTGAGTTCTATTTCCAAGTTCTTTTCATAGTAAAACCAATCAAAATCACCTCTATTTCTATATGTTTTCCATTCTATTAAATGAGCCCAAGAAAATGAGAATACAACCATAAATACTATATGAAAATAGACACAAAGTCGCCATTTTAATTAAAAAAAATGGTCAGGAGTTTTTTTTTTCTCATTATGCACTGCATGCTCCAGGATTTTTTTTATATGGTGCACACTGACCACACAGACCCATTCTCTCACAAGTGGGCCTACCAGCTTTCTCCTGCCTGATTTGAAGCCGCTGTAATTTATGAGTATATATATGTCAAACACAGTGGCTCGTAAGATGTATATATATGACCAAAACAGTCAAAGGGTTAATAATAATAATAGTAGTAGGTTAGTAGACAGCAACCACCCAGGGATGTACTACCATCCTGCCAAGTGAGTGTAAAATGAAAGCCTGTAATTGTTTTACATGATGGTATGATTGCTGATGTCTTTTGTCTGTCTCATTAATATGCAAGATTACAGGTATGTCTTGCTACCTCTACTGACACTTATATCACACTACACATGTATAAGTTTATTTATACACACTCATCCGAGTTTTCTTTGATTTTATCTTAATAGTTCTTGTTCTTATTATTTTTCCTTTTATATCCATGGGGAGGTGGAATAAGAATCTTTCCTCCATAAGTCATGCGTGTTGTAAAAGCCAAGTAAAATGCCGGGAACAATGGGCTAGTAACCCCTTTTCCTATAATGATTACTAAAAAGAATAAGAAGAAAATTGTTAAAGTGGGATGTCTGAATGTGCATGGATGTTGTGTGAATGATAAGAAAGAGATGATTGTGGATGTTATGAATGAGAAGAAGCTGGATGTCCTGGCTTTAAGTGAAACAAAGCTGAAGGGGATGGGAGAGTTTCAGTGGAGAGAAATAAATGGGATTAGGTCAAGGGTTTCAAATAGAGTTAAAGAAATAGTAGCAATAATGTTGAAGGATAAGCTATGTCAGGAAAAGAGGGACTATAAATGTATTAATTCAACGATTATGTGGAGTAAAATAAAGGTTGGATGTGAAAAGTGACTTAGAGTAAGCATATATGCACCTGGAGAAGAGAGAAGTGTAGGGGAGAGAGAGATTTTGGGAAATGTTGAGTGAATGTGTGGGGAGTTTTGAACCAAGTGTGAGAGTAATTGTGGTTGGGAATTTCAATGCTAAAGTGGGTAAAAATGTGTGGAGGGAGTAGTAGGTAAATGAAAATGGGGAGCCATGTGTAGAAAGAGGTTTGGTAATAAGTAATACATATTTTATGAAAAAGAGCATAAATAAATATACAAGGTATGATATAGCACATAATGAAAGTAGTTTGTTAGATTATGTATTGGTGGATAAAAGGTTGATGGGTAGGCTCCAGGATGTACATGTTTACAGAGGGGCAACTGATATATCGGATCATTATTTAGTTGTAGCTACAGTCAGAGTAAGAGGTAGATGAGACAAAAGGAAAAATGCAACAAGAGAGAGGTGGGTGGGGGGGGGGAAGAGGGTTGGAATAGTTTTAAAAATGCAGTATTAGAATGTGGGGCAGAAGTTTGTGGTTATAGGAGGGTGGGTGCAGGAGGAAAGAGGAGTGACTGGTGGAATGAAGTAAAGGGTGTGATAAAAGAGAAAAAGGTAGCTTATGAGAGGTTTTTACAAAGCAGAAGTGTTATAAGAAGAGCAGAGTATACGGAGCGTAAAAGAAAGGTGAAGAGAGTGGTGAGAGAGTGCAAAAGGAGAGCAGATGATAGAATGGGAGAGGCACTGTCAAGAAATTTTAATGAAAACAAGAAAAAATCTTGGAGTTAAATAAGTTAAGAAAGCCTAGGGAACAAATGGATTTGTCAGTTCAAAACAGAGTAGGGGAGTAGTAGATGGGGAGATGGAGATATTGGGTAGATGGCGGGAATATTTTGAGGAACTTTTAAATGTTGACGAAGAAAACGAGGCAGTAATTTCATGCATTGGCCAGGGAGGTTTACCATCTTTTAGGAGTGAAGAAGAGCAGGATGTGAGTGTGGGGGGAATGCGTGATGCATTACGAAGAACGAAAGGGGGTAAAGTAGCTGGAACTGACGGGATCATGACAGAAATGTTAAAAGCAGGGGGTTATATAGTGTGTTGTTAGGTAAGACACATATGCAACAGTTAGGTATCTTTATTTTGAAACGTT